GTTTTCTCTTGTTGGTCGATATGTTTGGTAAAATTTCAGATTCTGCCAGCCTCCTCTTTCGAAACGATTGTTTTTGGAATGGATAATTCCTTCGCTGTTTAGCGCTGTAATGCTATTGTTCTCCGTCGCATCTGACTGCTTAAGCAGTGACGTAACTTGTACTTCTCGACGTCAGAGTTGCTTAAGCGAAGGATTTGCAATATGTTTGGGAAAAAATTTCCATGATTTACACAGCAAAACATATCAAAACAACTAACAAAAGCTTTAAATCGTGTTTGTTTAAACTCTACGGAAAAAAGACGCATGTTTCACCAATATAATTACGGTCTACTAATGTGCGGTTAAATCTGGGCTTACTTTTTGTCTGGTTGCCTCACAATACAAAAGCAATAAATTTTGATTACACAAAAATAGCCGATATCCCGAGCGTGTATGTCTGCCGCGAAGGAACGCCCATGAGCCTGAAGAGCGAGGTACATTTTCGTCATTAATAGCTGGATAAGAGCCCGCTGTAGCTTAACCTATGATACATCCTACTATTTCTTCCGTTCTATAAAATGGCGTTGTCCATTTCCCTCTATCACCGCGCGTCACACAAACGGATAACCTCATTCCTACATAATTTTCAATTTTACCTAAAATTTGCGGTGCTGCTCACATCGGGCAGGAACGGTTGCGCAGCATGGACACGGCGTCCTCCATGGAGCCGCCGCTCTTTCAGTTATTGCTGTCGCACGCTACATTTAACATTAGTTTATCGATGGGAATAATGCTAGAGCCCCCTTCTATGCGCAAATCGAGACAAATCACACTCCCAAAAGGTTTGTGCACTCGTTGCGAGTCTTTTCCGTCACCCGCGCTCATTTAGCGCCCTGCTCATTATTGTTGAGATTGAGATTGAGACCCGCCCATCAGAAGTTTTTCCGTGACATGCCCGCAACGTCATCCTGGTCCCCATTCGTTATGGCAATTTGATTGCGCGCGCGGTTATTGTACACCGATTCAAAGGCGATGTATGCAACAGACAAAAGAAATTAACGTTTAATATTTATCATTAATATTGCGTTTGTTAATAATCTGCCTGCGTTTATTGCAAAATAAGACAAAGAATTAGTTAGTTGCACTCTATAAATATTTGAGTATATATATATTCGTGCAATATGCAATGTGTGTAATATGCCGGTTCTCGTTATATCTATTTAAATCTTACTAACCTTCTATTGCCGTACCTCCGTATACTTAGTCAAATATTGTTGATGTTGTAGTTTTTCTGCAGAAAAATGCAAATAGCGATTTATCAACATTTCAGCCGGCTATATATTTTCCAACATTTCACACCCAAACCCTTCTCACACAGTTGACAGACAGACACTGAACGTTTTTTTTGTCCGGTGCACACTTTCCGAAAATAGCGAGTTCTGATTGGTCAAGAAATACTGACGTCATTTTCCTCAGTTTTCATTGGCCAGGATTTGTCGCCGTTTATCATACAGTATAATCGCTACCTTGCCAGTAATTGCTAGTTAAGCATGGTGTTCCTGTCTTACTCTTTGACACACGATTCATTTAATATCGCCGATTCTTAATTCTTTACTCTACCACTATACATACCTGTTCCACACACGGTGTCTCGTGATTGGTTAATAGTATTTCCTGTAATACTATTGGCTTTCGTGACAATGTCACGCGCATGTAGTGTCGAATAAATATTTCAAAATGTTTCGTTCGCAATTCAGGCGATAACATTTTTGTTTTTGAAAATCCCGCGCATTTCTTCAGGCCCTTTTGCTCGTAATATGGGTGAGGCACATCGGTTTGCGCAGAACAAGAAATTTACTTGTTTGTAAATACTCAATATTATGTGAGTATTACTGGTCTATTGTCATATATATTGATACAGACACAAAATCTGCTTCGTGTACCGTTATGTGGGCATTATCTACGCACGAATCTCGGTGATTAGAATAATTGTACAAAAATGAAACGGCATCATTGTTTTGTTTACAAAAGACAGGAAAGGATATCGGATGGCGATTTTTAAAATATTGAGATAGTACTTCATAACGGGCTCACGGACACTTATGTGTCCAATAACTTCGTTAGTTTTGAGCTGCGAAGGAAGTACATAGAAGAAAAGTTTCTTAGAATCACTCGCTCGCTTTATCATTTGCATATGTTATTTTTCGTCTAAAAGGCGGCTGGCAGAATTTTGACCAATACCAATTGTTTTTCAAGACACTAGAGTCTAGTACTGGCCACGCTGAAACCTATATAATTGTTTCCTCTTGTTGGTCGATATCTTTTTTGCCAGCTCTTTTGGCACTCGTTTATAATTTCTTTTTTCTCGCTCCCACATGTCGCATGTCTTTCTCATTATCAACTTGCAAAGGTGACACCATAGGTTGCAAGTGCTTTATATTTGGTCATTTTGACCACTGTATGCAAAATTTGGTAATTTTTTTAATTATGTAAATTGTTAGACTCATGCTTGTGAGAAATCTTGATAACAGAAGGGGTCATGAAATATATTAGGAAAATTATGTGGTTAAACAGGTTGCGACAGGAAGAATATTGAACAATGATACATGAAATCACAAGGAACCCTAAATAATGGGAAATGAAATGCTGCATATGTGCCCATCATCTTCGAAAGTCTGCAGACGGACTTGCCTTCTTTCATAAATCTCAGCAGGATTCCAACCTATCTTTCAAAAAGTCTTTGTGAACTCACACCATCCAAACCCCCAGTAGTAATTGTACAAGTTTTAATCAATAAACCATTTCACAGACTTTTTAAACAGTGTAAGGTGCCATGACTGAGGGGAGGGTTAATGACAATTGGGACTTCCCAGACAATATTTATATCATCATATTTATTCTCCTGTGATGAAAATAAATCTGGTGATCATTTCCGTAGCAATCACAGCTGACAATCTTGATGCGTTTACTCCCATAGGAAGGGAGGGCATGAAGTATGTCAGGGAACTTATGGGGTAAAACAAACTGAAATAAAAATATAGAACAAAAATATGTGAAACCAGCACAAAAAAAACACTTAAAATCAGCTGATGGACCTCTACGGACTTGTCCGCCATCTTCGAAAGTCTGTAGACCGACGCGCCAACTTTCAAAAAAGTCTTTGGGAACCCAACTCATCTTTTGGTAAAATCTACTGGAATTCACACCATCCAATACATCCTGGCCAATAAAGCAACCTAATTCCATGTCACAAACTTTATTCAACAATGTAAGTTGTCATGACAAGGGGTGCCCTTTGGGCACTGTCTGAGCTGAGGGTTGATAGGGGGCTCTGCCCTGCAACACCCCCTGGAAACATTCTCTTCACCTTGGTATGGATGGCAAGACAACTGAATACATTCTGTAAAGAATAAACCAAACACCTTTATATTTCGAGACACCAACTTCCTTGCTTCTGCCCAATTTCTGGATGGCGTGGTTGCTAATTACTTTTTCCAGCAATTTGGGGCACTTTACAGGCTCTCATATCAAGCTGTGATAGTTGCTATGCTCTATTTCTTCTGCATAGCCTCTACAGTGTTTTACAAAGGACCTGGAATCGACGCAATGCTGAAAACGAAACATTTTTCACCGCCGTTTTGTCAAGGAATGGCGATTGTAAGATCTTGAAAGTCCTGGTGGAAAGCGCAAATGCACATCAGGTTTCCGTAAAGAATACTGTAAAACTATCTAAACATGTAAAAAAAAAATGTTTGCGTCAAGATAACCATTCCATATACTTTTTTTTTATTACACTGTAATCCTGATTGTCATACACTGCAAGTTTTCCCAGAATTTACATTCAACTTACAAGTAGGTCATAGACTCAAGTCTGTCATGGATTTATGCCCCATCTGCCCAACCTGTGCCCTAGAACACAATCTCGCAAACACTCCTTGTGTTTGATCTTATGCTTTACCCTACCATAGATATTCAAAGGATTCTTTGTATTCCAAGGTGGAGGTTGAGAAGGCAAAACCCCATAAGGGATTTTGAAGGAGGGATAGCTGCCTGCATTACATGATTTAGTGACCTACTTCATACATTTCTTTCATATATTACCATGTAATTTCCATGATAGTCTTACCTTTGTTCCCCCCCTGCTATCTGGGCCAAGTTTGTAGTATATGGCATAATTCCCACATTTATTAGTTGATGGTGAAGGGAATTGATTGTTAACAGTATTGTCCTCATCAGACGCATGTAGGTATTTTAAACATTTACCTAATTAGGTATCAGGACAAACTGTATTAAACTATAGTAAGTTGCACTGGGTAAGGTAAATTTCTAGAACAGGTCCATCTGTATGCAACAAAGTTCACAAAAAAATGCAGTGGTTGGGTTAAAGATGTACATTAGTTATGGTGAAAGAGTTGAAAAGGCTTTGGCTGTATCAACATATATCTGAACTCTACGTCTTAAGGCCCTCTCTGTGTTCTTTTGCAGAAGCCAGGCAAGGTGGGCAAGGGTGGCACCAGCAGCAAGATGGGGAAGCGGAAGGACAAGAAGGAGGGGGGACGAATGTCCAAGAAAGTCCACCCGGAAAAGCTCAAGAACATTATGAAGGCAAAGGAGGCCAAGAAGAACAGCCGCCGCATGACCAATCGCAGTGAGAAAAAGAAAGAGAAGCGGGGTCTTCTGCGTCAAAAGGAAGCACAGAGGGCGTACCAGGCCAAGATTGACGAGGATGTCGAGTACCAGAAGAAGCTTCAGATAGAGCTGGCTGGTGGAAATGACCCCAGGAGTGAGTAATTGGGCAGTCTTGAGCTGCAAGTGAACTGTTTTAATTTGTCTCTCATTTTTCTCTTTTTTCCATGTACTTTTTCCCAAATTTCTTTTTCATCCTCTTTTTTTTTTGTCATGATTGTTATCCAATTTATAAAAATCTCTTGTTCTAATATAGTCGTAGGAATATATATGATTCATGAACTTGAGATTTTATTTCATTTATTTCAGGCAATCACCAGGTAAAAGTGATGGACAAAAGGGAGCTGCAAGCACTTGTTCAGAGGTAAAGTGGAAAATCAGTTCAGTGTTTAAGAGCAAGCACATAGACATGTACAGTTGTTTTACAACTCAACGAATGTATATTTCATATCTGTCACCTTATGACCTTCAGTATTTCCACACTCATCTCCATTACAGCCAGAAGAGAGTCCTGTTAGATGAGATGGAGGATGAACTGGCCAAGGAGGATGTAAGAGTAGGAAGGACGGCTGCAGTCGAGCCAGACCCTCTCTCGCAATACAAAAGTGTTGAAGATGAACCACGTAGCTTTGAAAAGAACCCCATACCCAGCTGGGTCAGGACCATGTTGCCCATCAAAAACCAACAGGGTGGTATTGTGGCAAGGTACCTGGCAGTTGATGGTAAGGAACAAAGAAATTTGGGTATAGGAGTGAGACATTTCGACAGTAATGAACATGATGATACAGAAAAAGTTTTTAAAAAGTCACTGAAAATAACAGATATATATATACTGCATGTTTTTTTTTACATAACTTCTTTTTAATTGCATTTTTTTATGAATGCTTTTTTGTTTTTCTTTTTATGAATTCAGCATTTTCATTAGATGCCTGTATTATGTGCTATGCTGTGAAACATAATCAATGACAGGGTTAAGGGCCCTGGAGAATCATGGAAAATCATAAAAATTGAAATAGAAATTTCCAGACCTGGAATATCTTAGAATTTTGTTTTCAAGCCTGGAAAATCATGGAAATTTACTATTTGTGTCTTTAAAGAAGTTAATAATCTGAATTTGTTTATTTTTCTGAGAAAGTGTTCAGAAAGAAATCAAAATCAACCTTAGAAAATTGAGGTAACTGAATAAAAAGTTGAAATATTACAAAGCCTAAATTGAAACATGCTGATCCATTATAAGCAACTAGTCACTGGTGTCAATAAAGACAGTCGCAAGTCGTTGCTTAAATCTTTTATATTTAACATTAATTTAAAATTACAGTCATTATACATGTAATGGGATATATGTATGGTGAATATGCATCAAATGTTCAAGGAAAATGTGAAAAGAGTCATGGGAAAATTCCAAAATCTCTCTAGAAAGTCATGGAATTTTGATATCAAGAAAGTGTATGAACGCAGCAACAAGAATTTATCTGAAAAGATAATCATCTTGTAATAATGCAATACCAGTAGAGAGAAGGGTAGAAAAATCCCCTTTACCCTTCACCCTCCAAGTAAAACAAATTGACTAATGAAAGTAGAATATTAGTAATAAGAACAGACCAATACCATAGACATTCAGACAGTTCATCTATATATTTTTTTTCTTTCTTTCTTTCTTTTGTCCAGATAAGAAAAAGGAAAAGAAAGGTGAGGAAGAGGAGGAAGACGAAGATAGTGATGATGAGAGCAGTGATGATGAGGAGCTCCGTGTTGGTACAAAGTCCTATGTGCAGATCTTGGTGGAACGAAAACGCAAAATCGATCAGAAGAAGTTGGAAATTGCAGCTCTTGCCACAGCTATTATTGGAGAGCCAGAGGAAAAGGTGACTGGGCATGCGCTTTTAGTCTTGTTGTGTTATTGCTGTTCTGCCACTTTTTATTTTTTTCTTCTTTTCATTTTATATTCTTGGTATTTGATTATCTCCTGTTTTTATTTTTATTTTTTTCTTGATTCTTTTCTTTGTCTCCTCTTCTTTCTCTTCTGCCTCCTTTTCCCTCTTCCTGCTTATTCTCTTCAACCTCTCCATCCCTCTCCTCCGCCCTCTATATTCTTATCCATATCCTCTATCTCCTCATCCTCATCCTCCTCTCTCCCCCCTTCCCCTCTCCTCTTGGTACCCTTTTTTTTACCTCTTTTTTTACCATATTTTGTCCAAGAGCAAATATTTTTTAATCATATCCCTTGATAAACTTTGTATATATTGCACTGTGCATAGTAATTTTTGTTTTTATTTATTTAGTTGCCTTTCCTGTTACTTTGTTTTATTTTGATTTTTCATTTATTTATGATATCTGTTTGTAACATAAATGTCCTTTGGTTTCCAGATCAAATTGTTGAAGAACTTAGAAGCCTATCTAAAGGAGGAGGACCCAGATATCGCCATCACAGTAAGGAAGTACGCAGCGCTCAGCATGTTTGAAGTCTTCAACCACCTTATTCCCACATTCGAGCTCGGAGAAGAAACCAAGGATCACAAGTCCCTATGTATGTGGTTTGTGTTATTATTACTAATTATTTCCCTTATTTCCGTTGTTTCAATCACACTGCTGTACAGACAAGAGTGAATACCATGATATTAATAAAACTTGGAATAGATTCATCTACAATTTAAGAACATTACCCTTATAAAAATTCTTTTGCTCCATTTCCTAACGATTTGCTCTCTTCTAGTGAGAAAAGAGAAGAAACAAGCTTATAAATTTGAGGATGACTTGCTCTTCGAGTACAAGCAGTACTTAATCACCCTTGAAGCAAATTTGAAGGACAAGAAATTGCAGAATGAACATTCTAAAGAGGCCTTTAATGTGAGTAGAATATTCTCTCTCTCTCTCTCTCTCTCTCTCTCTCTCTCTCTCTCTCTCTCTCTCTCTCTCTCTCTCTCTCTCTCTCTCTCTCTCTCTCTCTCTCCTCTCTCCTCTCTCTCTCTCTCTCTCTCTCTCTCTCTCTCTCTCTCTCTCTCTCTCTCTCTTCTCTCTCTCTCTCTCTCCTCTCTCTCTCTCTCTCTCTCTCTCTCTCTCTCTCTCTCTCTCTCTCTCTCTCTCTCTCTCTCTCAGAAATTCCTGAGACTGTTATAGAGTAGAGACCTCATTACATAAAAAAAAAAAAAAAAAAAAAAAAAGTGGGAGGGAGATATTCATCTACTCTGTAGGTGTAGTTTGCTATTTTCCCCAGATAGCGCACATAGGCCCAGCTACAAAGGTACTGGTTCCAGAGTTAGATAAAGTCAGAGGAATCCTGATTTTTAAGATTTCTCTCTCAGATATTATTCATCCATCTTATATGACATTCTTCTCTCCCTCACTCTCTTGCAGCAATTGATGATCGCAATTCTTAAGTGCTATGGGGAACTCCTTTTGCGAAAGGGCCACTTCAACTACACATTCAACATAGTCCAAGTGATCACTCCATATGGTAGCTACAAGGTCAAGGAGGTCGCACAGGTAGTGCTGGATACCTTCAAGAAACTTTTTATTCGCGACAAGACTGGCGAGATGACTCTGGAGGTAAGCATTTAAGAAAATAGATGAATATATTAATCCATTAACCCCAGGTAAAGAAAAAAAAGAAAATAAAAGTGAAGGTTTACCTTCACTTTAGGTGCTATTGCCTTAAAGTTTCACCATACAAATAATGTTCCTATTATCAAAGAGAAACAAGCCCTGTCTGATGAGCTTGTGGGTTGGGAATGGTCGTTGGGTAGCTTGGATTTATTCCTCTGTTGAGTGTGTGCTTAGGTACAGCAATCATAAAAACAGTTTTAACCAATTTATTTTATTCTATAATCATTTAGAAATAAACAAGTGACATATCACAAGGTAAATCTTAACAATGAATATAATAGGAAAAACAAGAAATATTCTCTTCTACTAATTTAATTCTAGTCCAAGGTTAACTTTGGCTTTACACTCTCCCTTTGCCTACTGATTATAAATCAATGATTATAATCAAAACAAATATGGGACAGGATTGAAGCAGAAACTCCCATTCTCCCAGTGTCTTTCCATTATTTACTTGTGTGATTAAGTAATCAAACCTACCCTGGCTTTAGTTCCATTCTCAGTTCATTCCATGGCACAATCGGAATTCTCACTTTCAGTGAATTCTGTTGTTGTATCCACAGGTAAAAAAAAAAAGAAAGATTCATAAATAAATGTTTCCTTTCAATAACGGCTTGCAGCAAACATGGCATGCTGTCGTCAGCTCATTTTCCCCAATCTTTCCCTCTCTCTGTGAGTGAGGTGATAGCAACAACTCACCTGAAGAACAGTGATGATATCCCTTCTTACTCCCTTCCCCCCACTGAATTGGTAACATGTAAACAAACCAACTATTTATAGATTATTATCACAATTTACTCTTAGGTCTAACAGTAAATTTTGCTAAATGGATATGCTCTCAAAGTAGAAATATGTAAATAAACATTTTGATGGAGTTTGGCAATTGTAAGTAGTCCACATATCTTGGCAATTATAACCAATGCACCATTTATATATTGACTCAATATTGATTTTGACATATATATATATTTATATATATGTGTGTGTGCGTGTGTGTTTATTTCCCCCTTTGTTTCTTTTCTTTCATTCCATCTTAAGAAATGTAAAAATTGATTCTGGAGCCCCAAAAATGGATGGTCTCCTAAACGCTGTATTCTCTTATAAAACGCCAACCAAGCAGGAAACTGCAGAGTTCTTAGAACACCCCTTCTCACCCACACAATTTTGTCCTCTCCCACACAGATTGTAATGCAGATGGACAAGTACATCCGCAGAAAATTTTTCAAGGTGGAACCGTATTACATACAGGCTTTCCTTGACATCAACATTTCAAATGTGAAAAATCTTGATGCACTGATTGAAGCTCACCGCAATGCCTCGAAGAAGCTTACACACACACAAAAGCTCATTAAGAAAGTGATTGAGGAACGAGCACCAAAGAAGTCCATCAAAGAGCGGAAGGTGAGTGAGTGAACCTGTAGGGTTCAAGGCTGCTGCGGAGAAGAGATTAAGATGAACAATTTACGATAATCTCAGAAACAGAAACATTTCCATGTGTGGCAGCACTGCTTGATAATATTTACGGAGAGTCATGAGATCAACTTGGAAGGGATTTGATTTAATAGCTAATTATTGACCAGAACTCATATTTATATTTGTTTATATATTCTGCTTTTTTGTTTTTTATATATTAATTTTGTACATGGTGTTTTATTTATATTTCCTACACATATATATTTCTGTTCTAGTTTTTTTAACAAATGTCTTTTTTTTTTCATTATTCCTAGAAATGCAAGAAGCAACGCATCCTAGAGGAAAAGATGCGTGAGTTCAAGGATATCAGATCAAACCGGAAGCGCCAAGAGGCTCATAGCAAGATCCTGCAGATTGTCTTTGGTATCTACATCCACGTACTGAAGAGGAAGCCCAACAAGGTGCTCAATGAGGTCGTCTTGGAGGGACTTGCAAAGTGAGGGTTTCATATTATTTTGTACAACCTTATATCCTTATCTTTACGCTCATCCTACTATTACTCCTCCTCCTCCTCCTCCTCCTGCTCCTCCTCGTCTCCTCCTGTCCTCCTCTCCTCCTCTAGGAGGTATTTAGCTATTTAAGTATTTAGCTAAATAGATGCACAGTACAAAATTATTCTATGGATCAAGACACTAGCCCTAAAAAGTCCACAGAGCACAGATAACCACCTTTTCTCCCTTTCCTCTCAAACAGATTTGCACATTTGATCAACATTGAGTTCTTTGGTGACCTGCTTGATGTCCTGGGCCAGAAAATGCTGGAGGGCACCATGAACTTCCGCGAGTCCATGTTCTGTATCAAGACAGTGTTCACCATCCTTTCAGGCCAGGGCGAGGCACTCACTCTAGACCCCAGGCAGTTCTTCACTTATCTCTATGCCAATATGTTAAAAATGGGCCAAGGTAAGGATCATATGGGCAACCTGTTGTGTAAAGGGAGCTGTAGTTAATTGCAAGCACCTTTTTAAAAAGTTTTAACAGTTTACTTAATAATGATGACCATAATGATACCTGCACAAGTAATTTTCTTGAGTACTCTATTTTAATCTCGGAAAAATAATGATCGACATTATGCGTTTGGTTGATCACAAGGATGGAGTTGATGGAGTTATTTGAATTATGTTTTTCTTTCCAGGGACCAAGATCCCTCCACATGCTCTCTTTCCCTAACACACCTCTCCTTATTTCCACGTCACCCTATCTTCTCCCAATTTTTAGAAATGAATATTACAATCTCTTTCATTTTCTTTTTCTTCCTGTCCAGATGGTAATCAATCAAACGTCTTCCCAACTCTGGATGCCCTCAAGATGATGCTTGTGCATCGTCAGCGGTGCGTAAATTCAGAACGCAGCTTGGCCTTTGCTAAGCGCCTGGCCACACTCTCACTCGCACAACCCTTCCACAACAACGTCATCGCTTCACTCTCTGTCCTCAGGGGTATCGTTCTGGTGAGGATATGTTTAGATATGTTTTGTTTTTTCTTGCTTTAATTTTCTTTAATTGTATTTAAAGAAGGATGATTGACATTTTAATAAGAAATTTGTATCACTGTTCTAAAGAGTGGTTATATATTTTTCCTTACACTTTTTAAAAGTGTTTTACCTTAGTTGTGTATTGCTAATAAAAGGAAACCCAGCCACACTATATGCCGAGTTAAAATTGTAACATTTCAAACTTTTTAGATGTAGACAACTGTAGTAAAAACACAAAAGGAATTGGTCAATGTAAATTTAGACAGTTTGCTTTGAATATTGATTTAAAATTTTGACCACGTCCAAAGAGGAATCATTATATTATGTTTTTAGTGTGGCTGTGTTTCATTCTTACTTGTTTGGACACCTTACTGTGTTTGTATATTTCTTCATTGAGTAATGCTCAACATATGTCTCTACAGAACAACCCAAACACCAAATTCCTGCTGGATTCTGACACTGAGGGTACGAGCGGCATATTCCAGCCAGAGGTGAAGGAGCCTGAGCACTGCAACGCAGGTGCAACAGCCTTCTTTGAGTACAGACTCCTCAGTGTAAGTTTTTTCTTATGAATTGTTTTCAGATCCTGAGTGTATATTATTGCCTTAGGCAGCACAGTTTCTCTTATGTCTAGTTACGTCAACAAAAGACCAGAATGAGATTATATTAGTTAGTTTCTCATTTAGTATTAGTAATTAGTTATTATTATTGTTACCATTCCTTTCCAGCGCCACTACCATAACTTTGTTCAGAAAATGACCCACCATCTCGTGAACAGCGCTCCCCTGCATGGGGAGGGATCCCTGCCCATTGACATGACTAGAAAGTGAGTACGACTTTTTCTTATCTGTTTGAGTTTGTGTGTATGTTTTTGATAGTAGATTATAAGATAATGTTTCACAGTTCTTCAAGATGCACCAGTCAGGTTCATTCCAATAGTCCTGATTTTTTTTAGGATAATCATTGCTTTAGTTTTATGAGTGCATATTTTTTATTTTTACATTTTGTCGTTATAACCCCACCCATCTCTCTTGTCTGTCTCTCTTGCGTTGATTACATTGCATGACCTCTTGACATTCACCTGCTGTATCTAACCCACCTCATCTGTCCAGGACGCTGCAGGAGCTGCAGGACATGTTTGATCCGCAGGAGATGTGCTTCAACCCAACTGTGCCAAAGCCAGAGTTGCATTTGCCCAAGAAGGACGAGCGCAAGATGACCTCCAAGAAAAACCGGAGGGCCCGATTCATCACCCCGTACATGCAGAAGCAGATGGAGGAACTCGTCACTGATGAGAACCGGAACCGCCTGTTGGGACATGAGGCCAGTGGAATGGGCCATCCCAATGGACATGCAGCCAACGGCATCAGTGGAGTAAATGGAACGAAAAAGCAAGATGAGGAGAATGGGATGGATGCAGACACGAGTGAGGAAGCGATGATCAGTGACGCAGACTTCTTCAAGGGAATGATCTGGAATATGGACCTGGCAAGCATCCCCAGCAGACAAAACACAAATGGAGAGCCTGAAGGAAGATGGGACAAAGACGTGACTTTAGAGTTAGTGAAGGTAGAAGCGAAGTGATATCAATGGTTTTGTTTATACCTGATTTGTTATATGTTTTTTTTTTTTTTTTTTTTTTTGATGGGGGGAGGGGGTTGAGTTGCTGTGGTATATATTTATAAATTATGTGTTATAAACCATTGGAATGTATACATAGTTTTACTTTTTGTACCTAATACAAAAGAAAAAGTATATACAGAAATATGGGCTATTTTCTTAACCTTTCTGATATGAAAAATATGTATTTCTTCTATAGAAAAAATTATGTCTATCCCAGATCAGGTCCAGGACAAAGATATAGATTGATATGCCCTTAAACATACTTCCTCATGTTTTATATGTAGTAGGATAATGATAATCTTTATTATATTATCATTATTATTATTGTTATCAACCTTGATATCATCATCATTATTTTGATTGTTTTTTTCAATAATATCGCAATTGTTATTTTATTTTATATTGCAAATTATTATTGTTATCAAATTTTTTGTTATTATCATTATTATTATTATTGTTGTTGTTGTTGTTATGATCATCATCATTATCATTATTATTGCTTTTATGATTATCATATTGTTTATGTTGCTGGCATAACCAGGGCTGTCTTAAAACCTTTGTAGAGACACGTGCACCACCACCACAGGAATGAAAAAGTAAATGGTCGAGAATTTTTTTTTGTATTTCCAGCATAATCAGTGTGCATCAAAGATTAATTCAAACAAACGTTTGACCAGTTTAACATGCATCTATAAAAGCAACTAAAATTTCAACTTACAAATGATGGCACAGTATGAAATAACTATGAATCCACTGTCAGTTAAGTTTTTAAACCTAAGCATTTACAAAATTTCTTTAAAGTGACTTTATTTATTACAGTGGGCATCAGAATGTTATTTGCCATAAGAGTGAAAATCAGTTCTAATGCTGCGGCATCTTTGTGCTGCGAAGTTGCATTGAAAATATACATTTTTTGTCTTTGAAAAAAAAGTTTTTTTAGTTATTCTTAAAGATGGACTTAATTATATTGAAAATTAACTCTTTTATTCTATTCAAAATTAATGTTCTTCGAACAGTGGCGTGCAGAGAGTGGGGGGGGGCGAAGGGGCGGTGACCCCAGGCATTCAAATGGGGGGAAGGGGGGGGTCCAATCAGAAAAGGAAATAAAACCGTGAAATTGATATTTATATTTAAATCGAATTAAGTGTTTATTTCATGTTTCGTCTGTGTTTGCATATTCAAAATATTTTCCCTCCTCGTAATATTTCTCAGTAGTAGGCCTTATACTTGAGTGTCTGGGGCATGCAGTCAAGGAGTTGGCCCCGGGCATCGCCAGCCCTGCACGCCGCTGCCTGCACACGCTAGGGGCTGGCGTTGTACCTGCGATAAAGCAAGAGGTTAATTTTGGACATTTGCTCATGTTTCCTCCACTGCGCTCCTCAAAAACATCGCTTTTCATGTCCATGGGTTATTCATCTAGATTTTTTTATTATTGTTATATCAGAAATGTTTCGTATATAGTCCCACGGTGGGGCTTAGGGTGATATAAAATGATTATGTATATTTAGACATTCTGCTTCCACAGTGACCAAGTCCTTCCTTCTCTTATACTTCAGTGTTTATGCTTACTCCAAACCCTGTCTCTACTGCATGGCGATTCACGACACTGCAGCATTGCCCAACTTGATCTCTATCTGTGATGTGCCCCCTCACACATCACAAACTATCAGTACGTGGTTATTAACCTTCCACAATAAATTCGTATTCTTTGAGTAACTGCTCCATGTCAACCCATCCATCCCAGATTCCATCTCTAATAACCCAAGGTCATACACACAAACAACGCTATTAACTTGGCCGTGAGGAGGGCAGAGGCGACCGCAGTACGAAATCAGAAGGCAGTGCCAATACCCACTCGTTGCGCGATAATAAATATTGAGAGTTCACTACGGTATAGAACCTCAATTCCTCGCATGTCGGAAGATTCATATTGTGCGTGTGAAATCGTCACCACCGCCCCAACACCCGAGAGAGAGAGAGAGAGAGAGAGCGAGAGAGAGAAAAACCATCGCTCGGAGCCTCGGGAAACGGACCGGCGGTGGCGCTGCGGAGGAGAATGGCTGTTATTATCATCGCTGTTTTCTTATTGCTATTCTTCTAATGTTGATATCATCTTTATTACTGATTTTCCTTATTCATGTTATCATGATTACTCTTACTGTTGTTA